AGTGAACATTTACGGATGAAATCCAAAATAGAGTATATCATTAGTTAATGCTACGCATGTTCATGTAATATGTATATAGTATAGTTTGAGCTAGATACTTTGGATATAAACAAAATGTACTTCTCATCATGATACTATTGTTACCTAGGTCAATGTTACTCCTTTGTTTTGATGCAGGTAATGCTTGGGGCTAGCCCCAAGAAGATGAGGTCCCATGTGACCCCCTTTGTTTCAATAGGAGCATTCTTATAGAGGGTTGCACATCATTTTTCTTTACCTTTCTCAGTTAGATATGTTCCGGAACTCTTGAGGAAGAGGAGGAGGGGAATCGTTGTGGTCTGAGAGGAAAGCTGGCTGCGGCTTGCAGCTGGCACCGTGTGGAGCTCCTGTCGAGCCACGAATGGTACTTCAGTACCGAGAGCCATTCCATTCGAGAGCGCCGTTCCTCTGTGCCTTTGACCGGGAGGAAGTTTCTGGGACGGCACGAACAAAAACTGCCGTGGCCTTTGATGCCGAAATGTGCACTCTGCAGTGCCGCTGATATCGATCGTCTGTAGGGCTAGGGCATTCATTCAGGTGGCTGTGCGGTGTCATGTTAAACGCCAAAGGGGTCATTATTCGAAGTTGACCTTGGGCACCCGTACTGGAAAGCGAGGTAACTTATTAACTAGAGTCGGGGGTGTCAACCCCATAGAGTATTTGCCTTCGAGTCTGCTGCTGTAGGGGTGGCACGAGAAGGAAGTTGCAGTGGAGTGTCGAACGCTATCAAACCAGCACACGCAGCGGCAGCAGCAGATGCACCAAAAGGAGAAAGATCTCATGGGGCTCTGTGCAGTACGGCGAGCAGATCCAATAACAAAAGTTAATACGTATCACGTCCCGCACTCCCCACTCCTCCCTCCCCGCCATTCAGTGATGCCATACTTATGCTCCTTCTCTCAGTCAGGATGGCAGCACGAGCCCTCTAACCAGTACGGTGAAATCATCGTTGGAATGACTGTCTGTCACGTCCACTGGGGGTGTCACAAATGAGGACCACCGTCCAATGAGCGAGAGGAGAGGAATAAGAAGGGGTCTTTCGGTGGTTCAATCTTCAAAGTTCAAAGTCAACTCGTTTCTCTTCTTTTCATAGACACTCGCTTTCTTCCAGGCTTCCAGCAGTACTGGCTATAACTGACATCGGTCAAGGCAGCCAACTCTGTCCTGCCAGATTCACTGGACTGAGTCTCCCTCCTCTGAAGGCTGAGACTTTCTGAGCCGCTGAGGGAGGGGGCCGCCAGCCAGAGAGCTGGCCATTCCTGCCTACAACAAACTCAACTGCGCACCTCGTTCTCCTTCACCAGTGGAGGGGTACGTTTCTCTTGTGAGGGCTCTTCGCAAATGATTGATTCATTGCTCGTCTCAATTTTGAAATCCCATGGTACGTGCCAGTGAGAGACCTGGGGGGATAGATGGCTGAGGAGCTTGCTCAGATGGACTGAAGACGGTCAGACTTTCAGCGTTTTTCAGAAATGTGCGTCAGATGTAGAGCCTGTGGATAACTATATCAAAGGGGAAAGATGAACTTTAGCTAAAGTGGAGTAGACTAGACATGAACGCGTTCAGATTTATGCAGCAGTGGTACTGTACAAGGCTCTCCATTCGATCGGAATGAGTGTCACGAGAAGTGCAAGCGAGCTCGGATCACTTTGCTCAAAACGTAGTCCGATCTTGTCGGGAATTCCGTCCTCATCTGCGTAAGCTTGAGAGAGGCCTTTGTCAGAACGAGCGTCAATGGGCCCTGATTTTCAACCCTCGCTAAGGTTCCCCCTGTGACTGCGGTCAATGGAAGTCTTTTGCCTCAGTCTGGCACACTGATGTCTCCACGATGATGAATGGTCAGACGGAGCAAGGACTCCCTACCCCCACGCACCCAGTATACTGTAGTAACAAAGAGGTCAAACTCCTCCTTTCTTTCCTATTCAAAGAGGATAATGTCAACTTTTAATTTATGTCGCCAACTGGCGTATCCTAAAGCCAGCAGCGTTGTCATGGACGCTCGGTCACGAGTCAACTCCCCGTCGAGACAAAGAGAGGGCGGGCAGCAGCAGCAACAGCAGGGAACTTGTTCTGGTGGGCCCCTGGTTTTATGCTTTCCATGTTATAACATCGTGCTTTTCAGACGGAAGAAAGAAAGAAGAAGAGGTGAGAAGTTGCTCTTCCCACCGTAGGTCAGAGCAGCTCCAGACCAAGCTGAGGATTTTGTTTCGAGTGTGCGCGAGCACAGGTACCTCTCATTTCATCTCCAATGATTATGATTATAAATTCTGGCGGGTGACATAAAAGAGGGAGAGAAAGAGAGCAAGTTGTGAAGAGTGACGCCAGACTTTGGCTGGGCAAATCTTTTTCAGTATCTATCAAAATCTATCGTTTGCAAGTCTGCTTTCTAATCTTTCCTAATCCTTCGAATATAAGGGCAGGAAGATTTTTGCAGGTTTTTTCCCTGATCATCACCGAAATCATCAATCGTTTAAAGCCAAAGACTTCGTGGGTCAGTAGTCAGTACAGGTGTTCATCAGCGTCATCGAGATATTCTTTTGAACGCTATCTCTGATCATTGTTATCCTCATCAGATACTGTCAAAATGGTGCATGCATGGCAACGTTCCCCCCACTCGAGCTACCAAATATACCAAAACCCCAAGAATGTGTGTCGAGGGAGAGACACAAGCTAAGAAGTTGCCCTCGAGCCCAGCTCGACGACTTGCACCGCTCGCTCTGGTCATGTCTTCATCTCGCGCCCCAAATTCGATTATCTCAATTGTCAAGTGCGAAGCACATGGAAAAAACTGGACCAGATTCATGCATACTTAGCCGATAGTGATTGGAAGTCATCTGCTGTTGGTTTTGTATCCGTCTCCACACATGTATTGACATTATGGACGTGGATGCTGGACCATGAAGACATGCACACACACACAACTCTACTGGTCGCCAAACTTAGGAGTATCGAGAGCAGGTGATGTTTCTCTTTGGTGCATAATTTGGGTTCAAAAATTTGAAGCTCGTCGCCATGATGAGCAAAGTGTCGTTTTACCTTGAGTTACTTCTTCAAGCAATTTCCGCTCATCTCGTCACATATTGAGGTCACAGCAGCTACACTCCTCCTTTTCCTGCTGAAGATTCGACACCCAATTGCGAAAAGGTGGCCAAAACAAGAATCCTCATTTCCAAAATCTGGAAAGCAGAAAGTTGCACGTTGTATCACATGCCTTGCGCATGTGGTGCGCATTTTGACACATAATGTAATTATTTTCCCGATGCAATATTTTTCTCTTTCTGGCTATGTGCCCTCGCTCTTGTATCCAGGAGGTCCTTTGAAACTCACACATATTTCATTCTTTCTTTGCACGAGTGAGGACAGATCTCCCTCAAATATAAGAATACCTGTTATTCGTGTGACATGACTTGAAGGTCTTCGTTTCTGTCTTGTTGTGCACTAGGAAGTGGACTCAGTAGGACAGTTGCTCATCTACTCCCTAGATAGTCAGAGGGACTCTGAGCTTTCTCCCTTTTTTCTTGATGTTTGCGATGATTTTGTGCCCGAACTGTATGAAATTATTTTCTCCTTCGCAAGTTTCAAAGGTTCTAGAAAGAATTGTTGGGATGGAACGGAACGGACTCTAACTGCGATATAGGACAAGGGGGGTCTATAAAATCTGATGCGTAGACCTCTAAGCAAACCAGTTACCAGTTGTGGTGGTGCGTGGATCTCCGACCCTAGTGACAACAATGGCTTTTACAACAAAACTTCCGTGACAGAACATCTCCAGCCCCTGGGGACTTTATATGAGCATATTGGTCAAAAACTTATGCGTTAACATCAGAAAGATATTAACTCTTAACCTCTAGAAAAACTCGGTTAAATACTAAACCAATGGGGATAAGAACTGATGAACTTAAACTCCAGCAATGGACAAAGTCCACCTCATGTCAACTCGCTCTCGACAATTCTGTACTGTTGAGTATAAGCAGGTGGCAAATTTATGGCACATCATGGCAGTGAGTCATTCTCAAGGGAGTGGCAAGACACCGAATTTGGAACCAAGCCTTTGGCTCCGTCCACATCCGGCTCCACACGTTGGAAACTCTGGTGCTTTTCATCATTTCAGTTAGCACAATTTGAAGATGGTGAATGTCGCTCTTGAAGGGTAGAGTTTAAGCGATTGTTCGGTGCCTGATGGGCTTGGTGTCCCATCTACACGCTGCCCTGTCGGAAAACGTTGCCAGGTTTACGACGCTGATATCCATGTAAAAATGGTGACATATGCTAACCTCACTAGACCCGTCAGCTCAAAGCTTGCACCGAGTTTGACTAAAGTGAGAAGTAGGGACCTTTCGGTCGTTTCTTTGGAGAGAAGTATGTCGTGACTCGGCAGTGAACCTTCGTGGAAGTCTAAGCCTTTCCGATGTGAGGAGATGGGTGAAAGCTTCTTCCCTCAGAACTTCTGTGCCAAAGATAATTTTCACCGTCTCAGAGGATTATGAGAGAATCTTGCAACTACGCTTCATATCTGCGGGGTACGTGGCATGGCCAGATACAGGACTTGCTTCAGATTGCATGCACGGGTCGAGCTGGCAGCTACGCTTGATGATGACGATACTCTTCGAGGCGGTGCGTTACACCCGTTGCATGTGTTTTCGCCTGCAACTTTCGTCCATTCACTCAGTATTTGAGAACAAGTATTTGTTCCTGTTCTTACTTCCTTTACGTGAAACATAAACAAACAGTGCGTTGTATCAAGAAGGGGACACAACGTCCGTGAGGTCCATACACAGCAGATATCGACGTCATCGAGGATGTACAAACAGCGCTCACGTACAGATATTTGCTGTGGAGGGATTTAAAGCCCACACTATCTGTCTATCGTACAATTAAAGGACCGAAAGCAATTTCACCACTGAGACCGTGCTTCAAGGAGACGTGTAATTCAAAGATTCGTCAGTGCGGAAACAGTTAGCTTTGTCGTCTCACTACCTTTACACACAACCAACCATCGGACGCAGGCATACAGTAGATTTTCCTTGTCCTCTTGTAAGAAGAGAGTGGCTGTACAACTTTGATCAAGTAGCAATGTACAAAGCAGATGGAAAGATCCTAGCCTTTTGAAGTGATGTTTATTGAATCAAGTCGATCTTCCCTGCAAGTCCTGTATGCTACCATCACCTCTTGAATCGTTGTGCAGGTTTCGTTCAAGACAGATGTAAATTCCACTGCAGAAAAACAAAAGTGCAAGTGGGCATGTTCTTATCATTCAAAACCGGGATAAGTTCTACAGTTGAAACCAGAAAAGGACAGTACAGACGTTCTCTTTCACGCTGACTAAAATATATAAAACGAAGACTATGCAAGACCAGGACTTACCGCTTTCTGGTGACCTCAAGACGTCTTCCCAAAGATCGAAAATTACAGCTAACCGCTGGTCGAGTTCCGTGACAGTATCGCTTATCTCCATTGGTTTAAGCTCCGATACATATTCCTCCGATCCTTCTTGGAAGATCTCTGCAGGGCTGTTTATCAGAGTCTCATCACCTGTGTCTTCGGACGCTAAAGAATTGACTACGTTTTCTGTTGTTTTCCAAGGGCAATATTCCTTCACAGAGAAATTGCATTTGCTATGGTCCAGCCGCCACATCAAAGCCTCTCGTACAAGTGCTCCAACCAGAAGCGAAGATGACTCGAGCATAATTTCGAAAGAGGGGCACTCCTCTCCAACGTTCCCCACATTTGTTGAGATGGAGAAAGTTTCAGAATCATATCCTAATAGAGATATCTGTTTTCCAGCCTGGAAACACGGTTGGTCAGTCCTTGTAAGTGAATTTTTTGTCACATGCATGTAACCTGTGGAATCTGAACACCTAAACACGTTACTCTGAGAGTTAAAAGTATTCCCGTTCTCTTGGAGAAGAGTGCAATTGGATGCAGTTGTAAAGGCAGGATGGTGATGATATTCAACAAGGTAGCTGTAGAATGCGCTTATACTAACTCTACAAGCTTGAACAAGGTGAATCAGATTATATGAACAACAAGACACGGCAAGCTTATTCCAGTAGCTTTACGATCTAAGATGCGTTGACAAGCCAGGGAAGTTTACAGATAATTTCTTATAATTCATACTTACCTTGACCTAAAGTAAACGAATTCCAGGTCACAACTTACTAAGAAGAATAAGCTTCCTCGCAACTAAATCTTCACATATCTTGACCTTAAAGCACGCATTCTATTGTGTTACCATGAGAGTATGAGATTTGAGTAACCCAGCTACTATTTCATATATTATTTTTTGGATACAACAGTGATGAACAAAATGAAAAGAAAATGATATTTTTTCAATGAAAATTGGAGACCTTTCTCACCTTAGATATGAATCCTTTTTCCAATAAGTCGTCGAGGTAGAAGTCTCGCCAGAATCTTACAGTTTCCTTAGAATCATTTGAAGAGTACGGTGTACTCTTCAAAGACGTCAGTGTGATTTTACTTGAGAATTTCTCGAAAAGTCGACAGTGAATCGAATCCAGATTCACATTTTTCTGAGCCATTTTGAGTTCAACCATAGAGCCAAGACCCAGTTGAGCAGGTGCTGTCTGCGAAAGGGAAAGTACGTCTACTCGATACTGTGACAGTAATATACAAACTCCTCCTGAGGCTTGGTTCGCTGCTATAGAGCCAGTATTCTTTAGGCCTAATCCATTGACATTCCTTTGCAAGTTGCTAGTTAAATAGTAAGCCGGCCCAGAATCCATTTCATTCTCTGCCGTGTTAATCAGGGCTTCAGTGGAGCTAAGTAGAGTTAACTGCGACTTCACAATCAAGTGATGGGAAATTTGATGGTGACAAAGGAAAAGACTCACATTAACCGGACCCAGACCTTTCCCAGGCAGTTGAGTGATGAACTCTTGTGTAAACTGGCCACCAACTGGCAAACCTAGGCCTCTATTTATCAGCAGTGAAATAATAACGCTGTGGTCAGAATTTGCAGATTGCAACTCCACAAGCAGAGACCAGTATGGGGAGAGAACGCGAAGACTCTTGTTGCATAATCTTACCACAAACTTTGCCCTACGGGACTGGAAGCTCCTAAAGGGGACAGACTTTCCAGTTCCAGGACTAAAAGATAGACTTTCTGGGGAGATAATAACTGGACTGCATTCTGTAACTGTTAAAAAAGAAGACAGCTTGCCTTTGGGTGGTTCTCCGTAAAGAGAAATGTCAGGTCGGCGCATTTTTATCTCCTCAGAACACAATTCTTTCACTATTTGTGATGCATTCGCCATTTCGGTGAGAGCGATCGTGATACTGGCGCTATGACTCTTCATCAGGTCTGTGGACTTTGATACCTCGTCCACACGTTGCAAAAGACCCTGGATTCATGTCAAGAGTCATCACAACAACGCACAGCATTAAAGTTAGCTCACTAGCTTTAAGGCACACCAACACAGTCACATAGGTGAAGGAAAGGTCGCTTCTTGCTTTGAAAATGGACTCAATAAGGTCGGACTGTGGCTAAAGTTCTGTGCAATATGGAAGAAGAACAAAGCAACTCAACGAAATCTATCTGAGCATACGTCATCTTGAAGTAGGAGGAAAGCCGAGACTGAACTACGGACTTTGTCTTCAAGATCGTAGATTGAAGAGTGAAAAGGGCCTGTAGCCAACCTGGATTCTCTCTTCCATTCTTGACTGCAGAGATCGCAAGCTTTTAGGAATACCCCCGGCAACACCTAAAGCACGACTACTGACATGATTTGACACTTCGACACCCAGAAGTCTTCCCCTCGTTGTAAGGGCCACCAAAGGTCTGCTGCTTCCACCCCCACCACAGACGCCTCTGCCTGCAATTTTCGCAACCACGTCTGCAACGGGCACTTTGTGGGAGATAAGCTCTTTGACATAGGTTTCTTTCGCCAAATTGTACGACATGGAAGACTGAGGATTTTGACTAGACCTCAGGTGAGAAACAGATGGAGTGTCTTTCACCTCAGCACTAAGAAAATCTCTGGTCTTTGAATGGTGGGGGTAAATCTGAACACCGTCCACACTGTGAAACAAGTCCGCGTAATATAATTCAGACCTAGAGCAATAACAAAGGCGGTGGGGTCCTAACATGCAAGCAGATGTAATGGGAGAAGAAACCTCCCACTCAACAAACTCAAGGTTTTGCTGATTGAGCTGCTTTCCTGTCAATGTATTGGTTTTACACCTCCACGAGAAGTTGTTGCTTGGAGGCCAAAACGGCCCATCGTCCTTCTGCTCGACTAACTCCTTTGTACCTGTAATCAGGATAATCTTTCCCAACATACCTATGATCAACAAGCTATGACCATCATGCTCTAGAGTCTCCACGTGATCTTCACCTTCAAGATAATCCCTTTTCCTATCGAAACCATGAATCGCTGAAACAATGAGAATCGCCACAATAGGCTGAGAAAGCTCACAAAGGAGTCTGTGGCATGACAGTGACAGCTCTGAGGAAAGCAACGAAGCATAGACTCGGCCCTTCGTATCACCTGCAGTTCGTGAACGGGCAATCAATCTTCAAATCTTCAAATCTTCAAAAAGCATATTCAAGACTCTTCACACGAAAGAGGAACAAATCCCTATAAATTTCCACAAAGCGGACAAAAAGTCAAACACAGTGTCTTCAAGGCTATGACAAAGAAAGGCTTGCTGAAGCAAATCCAATATATATGTTCCTATGAAAGATCAGGGTTTACCATGAAGGATCCCAAAAGGAGAAACCATGATGTCGAACTTTCCAAACAGATTCTCGAAAAATTTGGCGTCGAGCGAGGCGACGTTCCCCTCCGGTTGTTCATAAGCTCTACAGTGAGACCTCACACAAGCATAGAGAAGACAACTTGGCTCCCGTTCATCTGTGGATCGGAAGTTCGTCGCATCAGATAGTTTCAATGTGCTCTGATGCAGGCCACGGGAACTCACTTGAAGCACTTTCAAAGTTCCTGTCACACCTAGCAGTGCAATCTGTGGTTTTGCAATGAGATGCAATTAGACACATTTGATATGTTTGCAACTGATATATCACTGAGCTTGGACATAAGCTAGTTACTCTCGTTCTTGAATAGTCTGAGAGATACATATTATAAGGAGTATATGTCATGTAGCGTATAGAGTATCAAACCATGTGTATGCAAAAGTGTTGGAAGCTCTACTCCGATAATACGTTCCAAATCAGTGTCAGGGTCCGTGCTACAAAACCTGGTTGCAAAACTGAGCCCCAAATTCTCACAAAGAACAATTTCTAGTGTAAGTCTACACTGAGTACAGATTGAAATCTTACGCAGTTCTTCGGCCCAAATGCAGCCACTAATGTGCCAGGTACATAAGTCAAGAGGGCTTCTTGTGAAACCGATTTGACTTTGAGCTTATTGTCAAACCTTGGAAAGGTGTCGCTTGATACTTTCTCCCATTGCGGATTCGAATCTACCAGAAATGACGAGAATAACGTGGGGTTGATGCTCTCTTTACACGACGGGGTTCCAACTTGACGATCATCAAACTCTTTCATCTTATGTTCTGCTCTTTTGATTGGCCCACCGCTACACCGTTGTCCAGGCATTTGACTACCATGGTTGGCAACGTCTTCCAGGTCCTCCCAGCATTCTTCCTGCGAAGATTTCCCCATATGCAATGGTCGGAAGTCACATTCGTCAAACATTACCTCCTGCAACGCTTTCTGCAACTCCTCGGGAACTGTTTCTCTTTTCTTCTTGGAAGGCCTGAAAGTCGGGCAGCATTTCCTCAGAACTGAATCCGAGCAGCTCATAATCATTGGAATGAACTCAAGTGATCACTTCTCTTTTTCCGCGAAATGGATAGGAGAAATCACTATGAGAAATGTAAGATTCCACACACTGTTATCGGACTCAATGAGAGATCTTACAGTCTGATGAACTTGCTCTCATGGTTTACCTTTCAAGTGCTGAATCGGACTCCTTTGCGCAGTCTAAAAGCCACACACGACCGTCCGACGTAATCACAAGTAATGAACTGCAAAGAGACTTGCTCCGTTCCTCCGTGCTCCAATGATTTTCATCAAATGAAGGACCAAAGAGCATAAAAGTAGGGTCCGCTGAAAAACGCCAAATCGACTGCACACGGTAGAAACATGAGAATGCTTCTACTTTAAATAAAGTGACTACAAGGAGGTCATTGTTTCGAAACGAGCTGAAGAGTGCTAGAAAATTGAAGGCTAGCGAAGGAGTACATGAGGTTCAGGCGCAACACAGATGCTCATCAAATGCAACAGCAATGCAAAGCCTTGAGCGAATGCCACAGACCACAAGATTTGAGTCTTCGAAAAGGTGGACCAGAAACGGCGACGTCCTACAAGCGACCCGCATAATTTTGGAGCTCCCGACTGCCGCCCCAGTCATGAGAGGACATCCTATAATTTTCAATCGTCCCCACTCCACGTGACATGCCTGCTTCTCCATAGTTCTCTGCGCTCACTCCAATGCATCAGCGCCAGGTTCGAGGTGTCATCCTTCAGTAAATTCTCCACATCTCGATGACCAGCTCTACTGCCACTATTCCACGTTCAATAACCTCGCAGCACCGGTGTCCAGTCAAAGCTAAGACTTTTCCAAATTCACACTTCCGCATTTTTTATGCAAAGGCCATCGGAGAGCATGCACCCAGAGGAACTCAGCTCAATCGCTTCCCCTTGCAAACCAGTTGCCCCCAAAGTTCTCACCCTCTGTTTCTACAGGCATCGCTCAAGCTCCTCTGCCCGCCATTCAGCAAATTACATTCGAAGTGAATGTCTACTCTCGCCCGATTCTTATAATCTCCAACTCATTCCCTTTCAAGGGCTTGTGATCTGGTCTCGGTTGACGACCAACCTCTGACATGCATCATCCCACCCAACCGCCGAATGCCTTCTTCACTCCCATCACTACACGAAGAAACTCTTTCGAAGTTGTGTGCAACACAATTTCCATCTGCAGGAAAACGTTCAAGCCCGACGCCGTCGAATTGGGCATTCAGGTGACTGCCCATCGCTCCCCTGTCCGCTTCACTGCTGTCACCGGATTGTACCACGCTGTATCAAATGCGTATCTCCGTGCATCAACCGAGTACTGAACCCTGCTTCGAGGACCACTATGACCGAACTCCAAAGGGGTCTAGTTCCCAAGTTTCGGAATACTTCTGTTTTGCCTTCATACACGAATTTCTCGAAGTTTGTTGTTATACTATCATTCGATATATATACTGAACTATGTATGGCGACTTCTATCTGTTTGCACCATGATTTTACTTTTACAAACCTATTCTGTATATTATTTGAGTTATGCTTTATAGGGTTGTGTAGTCATTCATCTACTTAAATAATAATCGTTTTGCATATCATAAAATGTGCTTGTAATATTATTATTCTTATATCTTTACAAATTTTATATGTAATATTGAAATATATTTATTAAAAAAATTTTACATTTTATAGCTTTTCTGTTATTTCTATATAAAAACTGGTTTTATATGATCTCCCTCAATTTATATCCTATGTGATTTCATTTGAAAGTTTTTGTTCTAATATTTTATAGAATTTAGCTTTTAATCTTTCGTTCAAGTTACTTCAATCTTTGGATTACAGTACAAATCTTCGCCTATCTTTATTATATGGATTTGGCCCCTCTCCAATGGCCTAGAGCTTCGAGCTTTGGCAACTACCACTTAGTTTCCCATCCAGCCATTCTACTCCTTTGTGTGATTAAGCGAACCTCTCGTAAGAATTGCAAATAGTCAAGAAAAAACAAACTTCTTCTTCACTCGATGCAGACGCTGTCAGTTTATGATACTACCTACATTTTTATAGTTAGTAATTATGTGCGAAAAAATAGCTTGATGCTTTCACGTCTCTCGAAGGTTGCTGAGGTAGCTGTCCATCTCCATGAGTCTATTCTCACTTCTAACCAGCTAAACATCATATACAGTAAACCTCAGCGACAATCAAATGACAACAACAAAACAGTTGGTGTACATCAGAGCCCAACATTGGGTGCGCATGCCCAAACCCACCCATGGGTTATGGGTAGGTTTGGGGTGACATTATTTTTCCATGGGTGGGCACAAGTAATGCCAAGGGCTGTGCTTGTCAAGATCCAACCAAGAATTTGCGTAATTTGAGTAGCATGGGTGGTCACAGGTAATGCTATGGGTGGACTTAGGTCACTGATGATGGTTATGGTCTGGTCTGGGTGCAGATTTGAAGTAAAATATTGGCCTCTGGTGTATATACATCATTGATCTCCTAATTTGGACGGTGGATTCTCGGTCATCCTTGCATCCAGTCCTGTAAGAGAAGAAACGGAATGTTGCAGTTTGGGCTAAAGCGGTTGTGTTTCAGCATTAACAAAGGCATCACAATTTCTCTATTTCGATTCATGAAAAACTGATAAATTGCAGTTTGCAGTAAAATTAGGCGGAAACCGCCAAAGTTAGGAGACCATGCTCTTGGACAGGTCTTCACACCACAGTAGTCACAAATATGCCATTTTTCTTGTTTTTCACAGAAACCAGTCAAGCTAGTAAATAAACACGAACCGTGATTATTCGAGCTCGATTACGATTATTGCATTGCTATACACGGGTTTGTGAGGCGGGAAACATTTGTGAGTCGGGAAACAAAATAGCATCAACATCACTTGCGTTCCGATGAGTATTAACTCGCTCGAATTTTCCTGATTCGAGCGAGTTGGAAAATCCTTTGAATTTCTTGCAAACTTTGAAAGTCCATATCATACTTGCAAGTTTTACATTTTAAACATGAGGATCTTCTCGATATTCATAAATAAAATGTTAAAAGATAGCGTGATATACATTATAATTGCAATACTTATTCCAAATATGCACTTCGATACAGAACTTCAGAATATTGTAAGTACAAAATACTTATTGTTTCTTACTTCCATTAGATTCCACTCATATACTTTAACTTCTCCCACATTCAATCAAATGTCTGTTTTATGTAGCTTTGATGTTAAAGATTTTTTTTTTAAAGTATTGAAGACCACTGCATGGCATAAGAAAATTTCAAGATTCAGAATTTTTTAATCTACGAAATATACATTTTAATATTTTTAAAATGTCATTTCTACATATTTCTAAACATGTCTTTTAGGAGCATTAATTGATATGTATGTGTGATTTTGAGTGGAATTTATACATCTTTGTATGATATATCAAATAGATAAAAAAATAATTTTAACTAAAATATATTGATGGTTACATTTTTCAAAGTTATAATTTTCAACTTCATGCGTGACAATTAGCATCAAGAAATATTTGAAATTTTATTTTAAGATAAAAAAATATTATAGAAATATTTAATTTTCAAAATTATTCATGACATTTAAAAAAAAAATTAAAACTATCTTCAAATTTAAAAAAATACTTAAATTAATATATATATAGAATAAATTTTATTTATATTTCAAACAGAAATCTACTCCACGTTTTGCCGTTTGAAAATAAAAATCAGTGTAAACTTCAGATTTTCAAGCTATGAAGAAGTTGAAGAAAAATCAGAATATTAAAAAAATAACCAAATTCTTTCTTCAAAATTATGCGTTACAAGTTTATTATCTTATGGATATATTTAGCAACATGAATTTTATTTATGTTGCTAAATTTTTATAAATAAAAATATTTATATTTGTATAATTTTTCAAAAAATTGTTTGAAGCTATCATCAATAGCAATTTTCTAGTTATAATCTATGAAATGATTATGAATAATAAAAAACTTATATCAGTTATGAATAAAATATATTTTGATATTTCAAGTTTTTCAAAGAAATCATATTTCTAAAGAATCAAATTATTAATAAAAAACCTTTAGTTTTTTTACTTGAACTATTACTAAACAAATTTGAAAAAATTCAATTTATAGTTTCAAGATTGATATCAATATAAATATAACTATAAAATTTAGAGTTTCAAATCATATTACTAATATATCGTCATATAAAATAAGATGGTTTGATCATATTCATCTATAATTCAAAAATATTTTGAAATATAAGATTCAGCTACAAAAATATTATATTCATAATTTCAAGATTCTTTTTTTATTATATAAAATATAAGTACAGATGTTAAATGAGCAAGAATTTTGCAATGTATACGCAAAATCAGACGCTGACATAAAAAACGTGAAAAATTATTGAAAGTACACAAATCATTCCTTTAACATGAGAAAGATGGAGTAAATTTGAGATATTAAGAAAAGAGTGACTAGCGTTGAGACTAATGCTCTAGATTATGGCGACGTGAAATCAAAAATAATGCTCATAGAAAACGGCCGCAATGGAACTATGTTGATAGAGTTCTTTTGAGATTAGACATAAGGTAGAAAATTCACAATCGCATCTACCATAAGAAATTATTTTTTTAACAGAATGATAGTTCAACTAAATCAATAGTGGATCTTGAAAATCTCAAATGAGTGAGTTGGGATGTGATGAGAGGTGAAAGGATACATCATTAAGGAAAAGACATCCATGATGGCCATGACGGAGAACTTTGCCTTGGTTATGTTGGTGATGGAGGACACGACGGCTTTGATGGTGTAAACAAGAGTGCACATTGTGGAAAGGATAGCAAAAACTAGTCTCCAAATGCAGTTGGAGCAAAGACGTCCGTGGTCGTGGAGGTTGTGATCATGATTATGAAGGAGATGATGAAGGTTGTTAAGCATGCTGCGAGCACAATCATCACAATTGATCCAGTCTTGGCAATGAGAATAAGTGAAATGAATATGGTTGAGCAAACTAGGGAACTGATGGTGATCAGGGTGTCATGGAAGAGGTCTGACCGTGGCAATGAGATGAAACAAGATGATTTTGGTTGAGCAAACTGTGGAGCTGATGATGGTGTCATGCAAGAGGTCGTGAAGATTGTTGCAAAATACAAGGAGAATGTAATGACTCTCAAGGAAGAAAAAAGGCCGAAGGCGAAAACTATATTCATGCCACAGTCATTAAGGATGAAAATTTCTTAAAAAAATGCAAAGCTCTTGCTGTAAAAATAGCAAAAGGAAGTAAAGTAAAATTTAACAAATCTTTTGAATTCATGCATATGTTTGACAAAAAGTCAACTAAAGAAAATATATTTTGATAAGTAAAAGAAGAAATTAAAAAATAAATCTTTAGGGAAGAAAGAAAAATAAGAAAAACCTTTGACCATCAATGATTTTTTCAAGCTAGCCAAGAAAGAAAAATGTAGCTACTGAAATAAAGTAATTTGTGGTTGCGGACGGATTGCAAATAGAGCGCACCGTGCGTTAGGAGTTGATGCCACATGTAATAGATTCAATAGTGTACAAAAAAATTCTCGCCCTTTGTATTGAAGATTTTGACCTGTTATCAACCCTAGGTGGCAAGTGTTGGTGGACTTAAGAGTAGAACTATCCAATAAGCGGAGGCAACACGCCTAATAAAAAAACAAAAATTAAAATCAAGTGGTCATTGTGGAACTCGTAAACTAAAGGTCTAAGATGTCAATTTATTTAAGTGGAATACAGTACAAGAAATATAGTCTTTTCCTATCGGCTTAGCCTAACTAGATAGATGTGATATACCTTGTGAAGTAACATCAAACAACACCCCCTCTCGAAGAAACATCGGTACATTCGGCATGACAATCGCACAAATCAGTATTCGTCATCAGATGTTCATGTTGTACATCTTGCAAAGAGCGGAGTCCAATAAAGTATCTTTTCAAACTTGTGCTTGGATAACGATGTGGTCAAGAGTTCTATTGGATTTATCGTCTGTATTCTCGTACTTGAGCTGAATTTTTTCCGCTAGTAGCCTTTCACAAATAAAGCGATGCTTGACCTCTGTATGTTTGGTCCTAGCATGAAACTTTGGGTTCTTGGCTATTTAAGAGCACCCCATTTATCACTTTATCATTGCAGATCACCCAAAGTTGATGTAGATGCAAAAGCGAGGTCTTCATGCACATGTTCCAGTAGGAGATGGAAACCTTGAGTAAATTAAGAACTTTTAACTCGTTGAGTAGTCTGCGGATGTAGACGTCCTCCTAAGCTGCTTCCGAGAGCTATTCAGCTTCGGTGGTGTTGTCACTCACACTTGATTGTTGCTTGCTAAACCAGGTAACATGTTCTCTATATGTACAA